CTTAACCCCCCCCCCCCCTTGCTACGTATTTTTAGATTGTATTGTATTCCAGTTCTGAGACTCGAAATATAAAAAGCCTCCCAATCTTTAGTTCATACAGCTTCTAGGTATGGGAGGCAGTGCTTGTATTTTGAACAGCCTGTGTGGGACTGAGTGAAATGGTTACAGACGTTCCGAGGCCGGAGTTCTGGTGCCTCGTGTGGCCTCTCTGCCTCCTGTCCTCCCTTTTGTAAGCTGCCCTTAGAGGCGGCCCGGAGTCCCTCACGTCCATCCGGATGAAGCTCCGCAAGGTCCAGCAGCTTTGAAGGCAGCTCTTTGCAGTGTTTGTCGTAGCAGCTCATAAGGAGCAACTACGTTGCTGGGATAGAGTTGGACAAGCTTGAAGAAGATTGTCTTGGAATAGAGTTAGACAGGCTTTTGAATACAACTACAGAGTCCAAAAAAAATATCGCCTTATGAAATCATTGCCTTTGACAGAAATGAGTCACATTCTGCTGCAGATAACTACCATGGACCTCAGGAGAGCTGAGAGCAGCTGCTTCATGTGGAAGCTAGGGCCACTTACACCTGATGTGCTAGAAGTCTCTTGCCCTTCGTTCCAGACAACTGGTTCGTGGGCATAATAACTACAAAGATTTCTGGGTTTATTGATACCTGTCTCTTTGGGATTGGCTGGGAGGTGGCAGTTATTTCTTAACTATCATGTGGTGAAAGGAGGAGAGGCTGAAGTGAGAGACTCCCACTTATTATTGCTTTATTGTTAATGAGTTGTAGGGCATCTGATCATGTGGAGGAAATGCAAGGCAGTTGCACTGTGCAGAGACCGTGTGACTGGCTGGCCCCCAAGGGCTGAAATGATAACAGACACAATTGTCCTTGTTCAGAGTTGTCAAAGTGAAAATAAACTTATTATAAGTCCTAGGGCTGGACATCTTGAGAACAGGCTGTCATTGGAGTCCTCTTGCTCTGGGAGAGGTAGAAGGGAATGGGTTGGGAATCTCATGATGCCCTTTTAAATTTGAGAAATACGTCAGGTCCAGCAGGCTGTGACCAGCAAACATTTTTTTTTCATTACTGAGGACTGATCTAACCCCTGCCCTTTGGTCACATGCATTTCCTTGTTTTCTAGAGTTTTGCCATTTCCCTGCCTGCCCCTCCCCCTTCTGCAACTACTGCTTCTGGGAAAAACCCATCTGAAAACAGGAATAAATCGATTTGGTTTAATCTGCCCACTTCTTTCCCCAGCCATTATTTGCAAGAGGTTTCAAAATTGCTCACAGAGGACTTTGCACGTGTTGAAATTCATTCAGGCATTTCCCCTGCCCCCGCTTCCTACACGCACAAGGCTGGGTGACAAGTCAGTCGCCTTTGTTTTTATAGAATATGAATCATAAAAAGCCATGCCTAACCTAGTGCTTATCTGTCCTGCAACCCTTAGCACCCCAATCCTGTCCAGTTTGTCCCATTGGCTTGCATGGTTAAGGCAGGATCTAGCCCTAAAGGAGTAATCCCAGAGGGGATACCTGAACTATGAAAGGAAATGAGGGCAGGGGAGAGAGAAAGAAGCCAGTTTTCCTACATCTCCAAAGTGTTGGGATATGACTCAAATGTATACTCAAGCTGGTTTTAACAAGATTTGGTGCTTATTACAGCTTTTCATCCTGGAACACTTTATAAATAACATACATTGGAATCTGTGGTTAGTGCCACTTGTCCCAAATTCAACCATAGATAGTAATGGGCCATGTATTTGGCAGTTGTTGTTAAATGAAAAGTATTTACCCACAATGCAATTCACACATCTGGGCCATGGAATCAGTGAATTGAGTGGCTTGGGACAGCACTAATGATGGGAACAGAAAGCCCTGCTTTTTCCCCTCTTCTCCTTTAACTTCCTCAAGGGGCAAAAGAAATCTCTCACATCAAGAATGTGATTTATAATAAAAAGTTAGATTCTGATAGTTCAGTGACTGCTAGTAACTGCCAAGTTTCCTATGCTTGAAGGAATAGCTGTAAAGTTACAGTGTAATCAAATGGGAAAAGCCCTGATCATTCAGTCTAAAATGAGAATTATCCATTGAAAAACACACACAGAGAATTAGGAAGAGAAGATCCTTTGTGCACTTAAGTCAATAACATCTACACTGCAGGATTATGCACTTAACCTCCCCCCCCCCAGCAAGAAATTGGCTTTGCTTAATTCAGTCACTTTAAATGCACTTGACCGCAATAACATTGTTTAGCTTTGAAGTTCATCCTATCCCATTAAAGAGAATGGGTAGGACAGGAATATTTCCATTCTTGTAGCTGCTATAGGCTTCTCCAAGTTGACTGCAAGAGCTCATCTGACTTCTTTGTGAGGGCTACTCATATGAATTGGGACCTGTCTGCTAAAATTATGACAGGGTTGGGGGTCCTAGCTCTAATGCTGACTTGTTGTGCAGCCAGGATCTTACTGTCCCAAACCCCTGTAGTGAAGCCTTGTTATGATTTCAGTGATATTTGGACATGAGGCAATGACCCTAGTTAAGCTACAAATGGGAATTGTGCTGTAACTCAGTTCCCTGGTATCAATGTGATGCCAAGGTGGATTGCACAAGTTCGGTTTGTTTCAGTTGGAATTGTTAGAAAGCTGTGGGTTGTGGTGCAAGCCTCGTAGAAAGGCCTCCTAATCCCAGGTGCCACTCTTCACATTCTTATGCTCAGAAGGTGAAAACAAGGAAGGAGAATGACAATGGAAACTACTGCATTGGCTCTTGACTAGTCATGATAACAAAGATCTGTTTGAACTGTGCTGCTCTTGAAACACCTTCTAAAAGTTGCTCTCTGCTAGGTATCTGATTGGACTCTATACTATTTGCAAGATGGAGAATGTGGCAATGAAACAGGCTGCTAAAAATCTCCTTTTGGATCCTTTGGTCTCTCTTCTTCGCTACATGCTGCAAAGTTAGTGTCGTTGAAATGCATCAATTAAGTTTGGGTTGGAGTTTGAATTTTGAAGTGTTAGCCCATCTTAAACATTGTAGGGCATGAAGATGACACCTAGTGCTAGACTGGAGGCCATAAAGTATCTGACCCACTTCTGATTCAGCTCACCCAACCCAACAGCTGATGAGAAAGTGTAGTGTCTAGTAGCTGAAGGAAGGGCTGCTTTCTGACTGGCAAATTCTAATCTCTGCTCTGCAGGTAACTCAACTGTGACCTTTAGGCAAATTACATGGAATTGCTCCATGGGTCAGTTTCCCCACGGTCCTGATAAAAAAAGGGTGTTGTGAAGCAAATTGGGAGCTTGCAAAAACCCTGGAGGTCCTGACCAGAATGCAAGGCATATTAGTACATATCAGACTGATACCTGTGGTGTTAGCCATGTCTCATCTTTAAGTGACTTAAGACTGTATTGAGGGAGTGGATGTAGGAGAGGTGTTTCAATGCACATGCCAGTTGGGGATTTCTTTGTAGAGGACTTTGGCACCACAAACACCTGGCATCATTACGGAGCTTTTAGGTTGCACACAAAGAGTTAAAAGGAACCTGTTAAGGAACCTCCTTTTTATGCTGCCTCACCCAAGCCCCAGTTTCTGGGGATAGCAACGGAGGGCAACGGTCAGGTAAACAAGTGTATCAGAAAGGGACGTGACTCTTTGGCAGTTGCCTCATGAGCAAAGGTTGTTTGTTGACTTGAGCTGCACAAGT